GTGAAAACTCAGTCAAACCAAACCAAACCAAACCAAACTTCATCAACCCGACGACATGGCAATAGGAATCAACTCTAGTTTTTTGGTGTGACCTACTAAATAAGACGTATATTTAAGCTTCCTCATAATGCCAGTGCTGTTGCAAGTAGGAAATTCATCATAGTCAACGCTTTTTTTCTCATTCTAAACCCTACAGCCTAATTCATGGTACCTTGTTGCCTGGACGTCTTCTCCACTTGCTAATTGTACCCACACATGCGCATGTGTGCGTCAATCCGCCTGTATGTATCTCTCCTGTATGATCTATTTCTGGGTCCCTTGGCACACTCTTGTGTCCCCACCATCTTGCATTGACTTTTGTTGCGTCACACCTTAGGTTGTTCATATCTTTGCCCTATCGACCAACTCTGGGTCTAAAGGACACAGAGCGGACAACGGCATAGCTCGGTACATGAATACTCTTATGCATTCACAGGAAAGCTTCCATAGCAACTTTACCGAAGGATAATTTTATTATTCGAAGTATTGTTTTCGTGACAATGCGTAAATCAGAAATATGAAATGTATTCACCCGATTTCGTTTAAGGTGATAAAGGACTGGTAGAAGAAGAATTTTCCCATTGAATTTTGCATAGCCTTGCTTTCCCAAAAGTTGTTCTCATCCAGGATGGACTGCAGTTTCGACCTCGCATTGGTCTTATCAACACCCTCAGCTATGTGAAATTCAATGGAAACGTCAACTCAACTCATATCGTTGTGGGACTATTCTTCTTCTACCAGTCCTTCATCACCTTAAACGAAATCGGGTGAATACATCTCATATTACTAATTTTCTTAGTCCGCTGTTCACCTATATCCAGAATCCGATTATTATATAAATATTTTTCGTTTGTGCTTAGGGTCTAGAGACTACCGGGAAATCATATATATGCGATGTGTTCACCCTATTTCGTTTAAAGTGACGAAGGGCTAGTAGTTGAATTTTCACACAATCATATCCAAGCACATTTTACACACATACACATAACACACACACACTAGCATATATGCCTACTCAGAGGTAGATATAGACTACAATTGAAATCCAACGCATGTGACCCTGAACATGCTGCCATGCCTATAAATTTGATTTTATATATTTTTGTGCAAACGGGCATGCATGCACATCTGCCCCCACAATAGGCTCAGACTGGCCTGTATGTCTTTGTACTCTTATGGGACTCAACTCTTGTCACAAACGCTACTCCCAGTTTGGGCAAACCGGTTTGCAATCTGGCGGCCACATACAAGTCGTGAGAGTGACACGCAGTCGGGTCGCCGGCTCACCTCAGAGGGCGCAAGAGTGGAAAAATCGCTTCATGTCGAGTAAACCACACACCGTTGGGTCTATCAAGGTGTCGGTGTTAACACCCATTCAGGCCAGTCTCTCCTCCACAAAAACACAACCAGTGCTGACCTCCTTGGCTTGACCGTCATTTCATCTTGGCCATCTCGTCTTTCATGGCCAAAGGCACAATGACCGTCTCTGGGACGCATAAGCTCTGTCGTGAAAGATACACGAGCCTTCTCTAAATTGGCGATGCAATTGAAAATGTGAGCTTATAGCAAAAACATCCTTCTCTTCTGCCCCCCCATACCCACAGAACAGCATAACAAGAAGGCACATGTACACACAAATACACGAATGAAATACCCATCTGCCCATTCACAATGCCCCCTCCCTTTGAAGCTCTGCGTTCGTGTGATTTATGAACCTGCATTTATTTATTTATTTATGTGACAATCGTGCCAACATGGCGGGGTCAGAAATGGGTCAGAAAACGGGCAGCTGAGGCCAAACGGGGTTTTGGGGTCAGTTTGTCATTGAACAGGTTGGCTTAGTCAACCGAAACAGCCAGACAGCCGACGTGCCCCAAGCAAATTGTGTTCAGAGGCGTTTGTAGCATCAGACATAGTCACACCTACTCATTTCAACTATTAGTCATCGCATACCACATGTGACCTAAGGTCAATTCGTTTCTATTGTCACCCTCTGAACTTGCCAATTCGGCTTCTACTAAGTTCGTCGATTGCAATAGCAAACGCAAATTTACCACTCCAAGTAAGAAGATGGAACGTTCTGGTGAATGCTGCCCGCTAGACAGCCGCAATCACCAGATATATGAGTGACGAAAGACTGGTAGTTGAAGTTCATCACAATGATATGAATAAAGCTGTAGTTTTCTATTAAATTTCACATAGCCTTGCACTCCCAAAAGGTGCTCTCATCCAGTCCTTCGTCACCTTAAACCAAATAAGGTGAAATCAATTAATAAATCAGATTTACTGTTAGCCTCGAAAACCTAGACACTCACGAAAAACGCAATCATCGGAACCAATGGAGATTGTCTTCAGAACAGCAATGACGAGAAGGTCTCTCTCTAAAGCCGAAAAATTGCCAGCAAAATATATTCCGCCATTGTATTCTGATGGAATCGACCTGCGAGCCTCTTCATCAGACATTATCAATCGAAATGGAAGAGATCCCATCAAATGAAAATCTGGTGATCCTCGAAAACCATCGAATGTATGAAGGACAAGATGGTTGTGGATATAAGTGGTTTGACCTCGTTTTCACAACTTGGTCATATTGTCGGGCGCCTATGCCATAATATCCACGAGAAGTTTCAGCGTCGCACCGAGGGTATGGTACATTCATTGTCTCTTTGACGAGTTGTAGTTTTGTGCTCGCCGATGAGGTTGACCACGATGCTGGCGAAATGTCTGATCGAGTATCAAGTCAACGATCCAATGCCGTAAAATTGTCATGTTTACTATGGCAGATGTCTCAGGACAAGCGACACTCATCAATGTCGTCCTGTTAACACGATCAAGTTGCAAAATGGAGGTCACTCCACTTCGTCGACAGATAGTCTCGAAACCCTGACATTCATACATTTTGGGACTGTGTAAGCATGAACGTCCTGGCAAAGCCAGAGCGCAACAGACCGGGAGGAGTTCTTCGTCGTCTTCAAGTGAGATAAATCTACCAGACATATAATCTTATACACTTTCACATATTGTGTGCTTTATTCTCAAGCCTAAACATATACTTCGTACAGTTCTTGTTTTTGTTCTAGTCATCATCTGTGTCCATTCTACACAGTTCCCCGTCCCGTAAAAGTCACTTCAATTATGCTTAGTCAAGTTCACACGTCCCTTCAATGCCAACAAGAACAGTTTATCCAGACATAAAGCATTCGGCAAAACGAAGATGATATTTTCGGGTCAGTGAACCAGTGGCGTTTCTTGGAAGTCCCAGTAACATTCATATTTCTTACGTGAGAGTTTGCATTTACCTCGGCAGGCTTCCCCTCATTATTGAATGCGAACTGCAAGGATTAGTAGTACCTTAAAAAAAGAGTAAATACAACCCCAGACCTTACTTAATTTTCCAGAATTTAGTATTTTTAACCGAAGGTATGAAGACCAAGAAGGTGTGGCCTTTTGTATGGCCGCGATATAATTTCTTTGTATTTTACGTTGAATCCCAAACCGTGGTAAACGGTTGCCTAAGTGACAATAAGACCTAGATTCAATCGGACAATCTGTCAAATGTACAGGTGAATTATTTTTATCTGATGGCACACAAGCTCACAATAGTGTGAAGCTTCATTCTGGGTCGAAATGACACAACGTGGACACTGGCCTAGCTTGGTGCATGAATACTCTTTCTCAAAATAAGGTGGAAATCTTATGAAATCACAGCAAAGCTTTTATTACAACTTTGACCGAAGAATGATTTTATTAGTCGGCTGTTCACCTATATCCAGAATCCGATTATTGTATAAATATTTTTCGTTTGTGTTTAAGGTTTTGAGACTACCGGTAAATCATATATATGCTCTGCGTTCACCCTATTTCGTTTAAAGTGACGAAGGACTAGTAGTTGAATTTTTCCACAATGATATGACTAGACCTTATTTTATAATCGAATTTTCCATAGAATTGCCTGCAAAAAGGTATTCTCATCCATAATGCACCGGAGATTCGACCTCATCCCACATACACACCACAACTATATGATATACTGATACTCTTAAAATCCTACATACAAACAAAAAATAAGCAATGTAGTTCATTGCTAGAGCAAATATAACTTTACTTCATCGACAATCTCACCTCAGAATGCGGTATATGAAAATGCCTGGACTTCCTTAAAATTCCCACTTGTCCTGTGACATAAGGGCGCTCGTTTCGATGTTGCGAAGTCGTTACATGTCGAAATTATAGTCTTCTCTATCACAATCCGGGTTCGAGTTCCGCGGGGGTGTTTATAAAACCAGTTCAGGCGAGGTCAAAACTGCAGTCTACTCTTGCCTGGATGAGAATGCTTTTGAGGAAATGAAGACTATGTGAATTTCAATATAAATATAATGCCTACTGAAACATCTCATAGATTGTAAAAATATACTGTTTTTCGAATATTTTGTCCCAAAAAGTGAGCAATAGAGGTGCAATATTGCCAAGCAATCATCGTGTCTCTTGAACGCTTTTTCCTCCTATAGGCTGAAGCGCAGTTTCATCCTCGTTAAGATATCATCAATACCCACAGCGAGATTTCAGTTAAAGATTCTCTTCATAGATCACTAAAGTCGTGTTAACGCTGCCTTGATTGCAGCTATCAAAAAAAATTTTAATAGCAGAGAAATATTCTCGGGAAAATGAATTATTGTACAAAAAGTCCCAGCCTTGATGTCGTCGAGCGACTTACTACCAACACAATTTCAGTATATTTTCGCGTTTACTTTCAAAAGTAGATTTACCTCAAAAGGTATGGTCTTGCCTATAAGTCTGAGTTAGGAATTGTCTCACCGTGTAGCTTAATGAAAAATCGTCTAAGAGCTCTATCAGCAAAATGTTGCCTCTATTTCCAGGATTTTTAGTCTCTTTTCTGTACGAATTTTACTTAGATTATGCTGAAAGTTAATATGTGGTCTATAATTAAATTCATTAGAAAAACTAATTTTTTTGAATAAATTTTTGTAGATGTCCATAAAGAATTACCAAGCATGGGAGCACTTGAGTGAAGACCCTTAAGGTTGTGATTGATTTATATGGACAAATGGGTCAGTAAATCAGAGAGTGGCATCTTCAAACTTTGTACACAGTTAATATTGTACTGAAATGAATTTTCGAAAATGCTTCTAGTTCTTTAATAGGCAGATATTTCTCATGGCGGACCAACCAGCATAAATGAATTAACTACCTATAATGGTACATTAAAGTTAGGTCCAAACTTCAGGTTTGATGCTCTAGGATACGTCTGGCGACTAAGGAATTCATTGCGTTTCAAGCCAGGTTTGCCAAGAATGTCACATTTGCCCTGCGACCCACTGACACAAATAACTGTGCAGTGGAGTATTATGGATGAGCCTATGCAACTCACACGTGTTTTGGCCATTTGATACGGTATTATTTAAAAGAGAGGCAACAAAGGCCGTGAACAGCTGAAATATGAGTGTTGTATAACATTGTTGAGAACTTCGAAGATCGATCCCACCAGAAGACGATGAAAGATTCTCGTTTCACTGTAGCCATTTGACTCTAATACAATCAGGTCGACACAGTCCACGATACAACCTCCCTCCTTTCGGTTTAGGCCTGTGATGTATCGTGGAATGCGTCATCCTGAAGGTCGTATTAAAACCAAACGGCTAGAATACAGCGAGAACCAACCAACGTCTTTGGTGAGTTTGACATTCGGAGCTCTTCATCATGCAATATTTTGCGAAATAATAGTGTCTCAAGCATTTTCAGCTTAGGGAATACATAAAAACCCAGCTTATCTTAGTATCTACAATGTTGGATATAAAGTTTAGTCACCAAAGCTTGATTTAAATGCTTTAGAGACTTATATATGAATTGAGCCATTATGGACGAAGTATGCCTAAGAATGTCATAAAATGTCAGTTAGTCTATAAGTCCTTAAATCGTCGTCTAAAGTTCTTATTTAAGAATGTTGGAATACCTTTCATTTCGTTGGAAGAGGTGAGTAGAAGGGATTCGTAAGTTGGTTCCACCCGAGGTTAAGTTAAGTGGCTGCGGATGACATGTGAAGTGGGTGCAGATGAAGCGTGAAATGGGTACATCTGAAACCGAGCAGCTGCATCCTCCCCTAAAGCACTAATGCCTTTGAACCTGCAATGTTACCGCATGTGATTGCGTCCATTACACACGTGTTGTGTGAGTGTATTGCTCTCGAAATGAGAGTGATGTGAGATTAAAAACCAAATTCCAGCCTAATCAAGCCTCCTCCTATTTCTCGGTTGTACTTCTCGTTCCACACACTCTCTCTCTATCTATCTATCCATTAATATCTATCCATTAGCCACAGGTAGTTTCCACTTAACTTCCCAAACTCATTCCTTATATTCAGGGTGTTTGCCGTTTTGTTGATTTTATCGCTTCCCTAATCTTTCGCATAGTT